TTGGCTATGCATGGCTGCAGGGACGTGGGGCAGCAGGGCGTCGAGGGGCACTTTTAGAGTGGCTTTGGAACTGACTCTGGTAGACGGGTACATGTGGTTAGGCTGGTGGGCGCCGACGAGAGAGACGAGTCGAGTAATATTAAGTGTTGGTCATACATACTTGTTCACGTTCTGGCCACCAGGGCCCGATGATCTGCTAAAGGTCAATTCGCCAATAGTCTCGAGAGGGATTGTCTGTGCATGCAGCGCCGCGAGCCACGTCCGGGCAGCATCAAGGCCGTCGTCGGCGCCGTGGCCATGCGAGCCCGAGGGCGATGAGGACGACGACGACGACGACGACGACGAAGAGGAGTAGTAGCAGCAGCAGCAGGCAATGCGCCGCGGGAGGCGGGTCGTCGGTGGGGAGCAGCGGACAGGGGCGATGCAGGAAACGGGCACAACAGGGCGAAGAATGAGGCGCCGTTGAAGCCGCATTTGCAGCATTCGCAGCAGCAGCATGGCGGTGGTTTGTCAAGATGATCTCATGCAGCGACTACATAAAGTAATTTACACAGTTAGTGCTTAGGGCGTCCATGCCCGACTAAGTACTGGAACTAAGTACTAAGAGCTTGCAGCCACAGCCCCATCGCATCCCTTCCCTTCCCTTCCACTGCCCCCCCTCTCCCCCCCCTGGCAAGCGGGCCCGGCCGCTAAAAAACAGCCATCACGTGTCGAAGCTTAACCATCGCAGTGCGCGGTTCCAGGCTGGTCTCGGAGGGCTCGACGCCGAGTCCCAACATCTGCTCGTCCGGCGCACGCTCTCTCGTCGACGATTCCTCTTCCCTCAACTCTACGCCAGTTTGACCTCACCATCCGCAGCCTCGTGCTTTGCCTTGCCACTCCAGTCCAGTCCAGTCCAGACGGGCTTGCACCTTGCTCCCCGTGCCTGACGCACACGGCCGGCCTGCCTGCTTGCCCGCCCGCCTGCCCTGCCTGCCCCGGCGGACCTCTGCTGCGTCTGCATCTGCGCGTCGTGCCAATCTTCTAACCATTCTCCGACCATCACACATAGCACACAGTAGCCAAGCCCCCGCCACCAGCTTCTTCACCTACGCCTAGTGTACCACAGCCTGCAGCCTCCTTCTCCCTCTCTCTCTCCACGTCCATCTACACCTCTCTCTCCAGCCCTTGTTGCGACGGTGCGTTTTTGTAGATGCTTTGAGTTGACCTAGACCCTCGTCATCCCGCGCCGCCTGCTCTCTGCCAGCCCATGCGCTCTGGCCCAACAGTCTACATGAGACCCAACTCCAGCCCGCCGCAGGAAGCTGAGCACATCCGCCATCAGTCGCTGACGCCAGAGAGCCCGCGTCCGCAAAACGTCCCCTCGCCCGCCAACATTCCAATTCTCGTAGAGCACATGGATGCGGCCTATAATGATCTCTCACACAGCAACGGCTCCCACTCAACCCCGGTCGGCCACTTTGCACAGCATGCGCACCACCACCCCTCCAACGCCATCACCTCCGCGCCCTACTTTGCCGACCAGTCGCAGCAGCAGTCATCGTCGACTGCTGCCGCTGCTGCTGCCGCCGCCGCCGCCTACCAACACTTAGCAGGGCCTGCAGCACCAGGGGGAGGAGACAATGCGCCGGCAGGATACGCCCCGTCGACGGGCTATGGAATCAGCAGCATGGGTACGCAGCCGCACGCTACCTCCTCAATGCAGAATTTCTCTTCGCAGCATCCGTCGCACCCTGCCTCGGCCGCTGATGCGCCCCAGGCGCAAGCTCAAGACCTTCATTCTGCGTACCCATACTCCCATGACAGTGCCTATGCTGCTCAGCACGCGCAGACTCAGTCAGCCCAAGGCGCTCACTACCAGACTGAAGCGCGCACTGGGCCCAATGTTGACGTTCAAGCCTTATTGGATTCTCTGACACCCGCTGCGACCATGGCCAACCCGGGCCAATATGCTGCTGCCTCCCATGTGCCCACCCAGTCTGCGCAGCCACAGCAGCACAATGCCTCGTCGTTGCCATCGGCTGCTACCAATCTGCCTGCTCGGCCGCCCACCCAAGAACAGCCCGCTACGCACCCCAACTATGACCCCAACGATGATATCAGATCCCATCATCCACACAGCCAGAGACCATCCAATGTCCAGCAGAGAGGCAGCGCATCTCTCCAGCCCTTGAATGCGCAGAACCGCGACTTTGCCAGCTCCAATCCCTCTGGTCAAACTCAACAGCAAACCCAGCGCAGTTCAACGCCTGATGATGAGGATCAGCGATGGCCGCCCGAAGTGAACAGGAGATATGAGGAGTTTTTGGAGCAGGAAAGGAAATTTGTCACCGAAGGCCAGTGGGACCAGTTTCCCATGGGTTCTCGACTTTTTATTGGTGAGCCAAGGTGATTCCTAGGCCAACAGCTATCCACTAACAGCTTAAAAAAAAAGGCAATCTTCCCACAGAAAAAGTTACCAAGCGCGACATATTCCATCGTTTCTACCGCCATGGCAGACTTGCACAGATATCAATCAAGCAGGCATATGGCTTTGTCCAGTTTCTAGACGCTGAGTCGTGTCGTAGAGCACTAGACACTGAGCAAGGACAGGCAGTTCGTGGAAGGAAAATGCGTATGTCAACTTTTCCATGGACATGTAGTGTGCAGCCGACTAACAATCCCAGACCTCGAGATTTCCAAGCCCCAGCGAAACACCAAGAAGGCTGACCCGCCAATCCCCGCTTCGCGCCGGCGTTCACGGTCGCCAGACTATACAAGGGGTGGCACAGGGCCCTCGCCCAGGGATAATCGCTATGGACCACACCCGAATTCCATGTCCCCTCGGGATAGGGATCGACGTTTCCGCGACCGGGATGATTACCGACCCATGCGATCGCCCTCACCTCGGGGCCCCGCACGGGGCATGAGATCGCGGGACAGAAGTCGCGACAGGTTCGACACGCGGTACCGCAGCAGATCAAGGACACCGCCCCGACGGCACCGGAGTCCATCCCCGCGTCGTGACTACACAGAAGACGGGCTGGACCTTCGCCGACGACTGCCTCATGAAGTACCTGATATTCAGATCCTTGTTCTTAACGAAGGTCTCCCTCGGTATGTCAATCCTTCACAACCTCAATGGAAAACAGCACTGACGCTCTGACAGGGATTTCATCCGCTACGTCGAGGATACTTTCCGCTCGCAGAGTCTACGGAGTAACGTTCTTATACTAAGTGGTCGTTTCCCGGAGCCAGCCGTGGTCCGAAGACAGATTCTAGAGGGCGTTCTGGCCATTGTGAGACTTGACACAACAGGCTTAGCCAAGGGCAAAGTCAGCGTTCAAATATTCGATCGACGTGCAGGTGCTAACAATGTCCAATTCAACGGCAAGTACTTCGTTTCGGTATTCACGGATATCACTAATATATTCTCAGAGTATGCCGATCTGGATCCAACAACAGCTGGTCTTTTGGTCAACAACGCCAAACAAACTCAATCCCGCTCGAATATGCCGCCCTCTACTTCATACTTTCCTCCCAACATGCCATCGCATTACTCCCAGCCCAACAATGCCTTCCCACCTCTTCCCGCCAGTCAACCCAACATTTCCAATTTGATCGCCTCCCTTGATGGCGCTAGCCTGTCACAATTGCTCGGTGCAATGTCTGGTAGTAACATGACCCAGAATACGCAACCAACGGCCAACCAGGGGCTGAATGCGGATCTGGCACGACTCCTTGCACAAGTACCAAGCCCTGCCCAAACCCCGGGCTTTGGACCAGCGCCTCCACCCCATCTCGCGCAGTTGAATAGCCAGTTTCCCGCACTTGCTTCGCTCCTTGCCAGCCAAAACCAGACGGTTGCCCCACCTGTTCAGGCTCCCGCACAGCCTGGCCCTGCCCCAGACATGAACGAGATCATGGCCCAGCTTGCTCAGTATCAACGCTGAGATAGACCGTTCTCGGATACACCAAAAAAGCATTTTAGATACGCAGGACGACTGTCCCCAACGTCCACCCTCTCCACAAATCTCCGCCATTACTACCAATTACCCTGTCTTGTGTATCACTCCCGTTCGCGTTTGCAGTCGACATATTTGTAGACCCCAATCCCTTCAACTGCGCCACCCAGATCCCTCGAACTTTAGGGTCAAGCCTTTGACGAACCAGCTCACGAAGCCCATTGTAGCACTATCCGGACCCATTCTGCCAGTGTTTTCGCCCTTGCCCCTCGCAATCCCTACATCCCAAGGCCCTCGTAACAAGACCCGATCCAGCAACGTACCGAAACCATGCAACACGCCCTGACAGCGCCAAAATCTCCAGTTACTCCATTGGCTCTAGCGACTGTCCACTCCCGACTAAGCAGCTTCCGAAAGCCCCAGATACGGCCCCTCGCAATGACTAGATCCATACCTGCAACTGTGGCTTACTTACTTCTTGTACTTTCTTCGCAACAGCGAAATTATCTGTATTTATTCCTGTTTGGCTTCATTTTCCATGTACGGTAGTTTCCTTCATCACTTCACGGGTTTCCTAATGCTCCGCTTGGAGGAGTTCATGGGGCGCTCAACACTAACGATTTCGTCATGTATGGACCGAACCTTTTCTCTCGGGTTTTTAATGGCCGGTCGGAGTTATCTGCAGCGTTTACAGGGCGGGTTTGTTTTCCGGGGAAGTCTTGGCGCAACCGGCAAAAATGCAATTGAGATATGGCTGTAGCGCGAGATGTAGAATTAGCAATGAATCATAGCTTGAAATATCTTGTACACATTGAGAAGTTCGCATCGAGTACAATGTGCTATTACCCATCATTACGTTCATGTGAACAATTTAATTAGTTTACCTAGTCGGGTTAGCGTTAACGCGAAGTGTGATGACATCGCGATAACGGCGCCTCGACACATTTTTTGAAATCGCGTATTGGCGACGTCGCAACTAGAAAAGGCCAACCATCGGCGATTGTTTAAGTTCCCCACAGGTCATACGACTCAGAATTTTCGATGAAATCCCGGCCAATGTTTCCCACCCTCGTAAAACCTCTGCAGTCGAACGGCGCATTTGCGAGATCACCACGTCATCGACATTTATACACGCGGGCTATCACAACAAGGTTGAACTGCCAAATATGGCATGAGAGGTCACATCACACCACACAACAAGCGGGATATGAAAAAATAGTCGGGGCACAGGGCAGGCGGTATGCCTCATCGTCAGCAGCACCAGCGAAAAGGACAGGTCACAATATCACTGCAGCGCCTCCGCCATTGAGCAAGACCAACAGCACAAGAGTACCTGCAAAGACAACCCCTTCGCGACCTCTACAAGCAGCACGGAATTCTCCCTCGTCCGCTCTTCCCCCAGCGCCAGTTCAACAATCGAAAAGCGCCACCACCCCAACCCTCCGCGCCCTAGAGAAACTCAACCCCCCACCCTTTGCCTACGCCCCCGAAATCTCCGTTCCAGCGCGAAAAGCCGATCAAAACTTGATAAAATGGCTCTGGACCGCCGGCCGCGCATACCTCGCCTTCTACAAAAAAGGCATTTCGCACGTGCGCCAAACCGCTAAACTAGCAAAGTCACTCCGCAAAAAAGCAGCTGCTCACACGCCGAAGAAACCCATGACTGAGGTCTTGACACGGGCGGAGTGGCAAGTTGTACGACGGAGCAGGCGTGATGTCCTGCGGCTCCCTGTTTTCGGGGTCTTGGTACTGGTGCTGGGGGAGTGGCTGCCGGTTGTGGTCTTGTACCTCACACCTGTTATACCAGAGGTGTGTCGTATACCACGGCAAGTTGAGCGGACGCTACGGAAGAAGGAGGACAAGCGGCAGGATCGGCTGAGGAAAATTGGACTGGAGGCTATGCGGCTGGTGGGGAGGGATCGGCCCGCCACTACGGTGTCTGCTGATGCAGCATCATCGGCGGTGGCAGGCACAAAGGGGAAGTCATGGAAGGATATGTCGCTTTATGAACTTTGTGTCTCGGCGGCCAAGTTGGATGTTTATCCTGCGGTTTTTGACTGGGTTCCGCTCGCGCCGCCCAAGTTTTGGATGCAGCGCAATGTGCGCAGGAAACTAGAATATCTAGAGACGGATTACAAGCTTATTGAGCGGGATGGAGGGATTGGCGGGTTGAATGCGGAAGAGGTTAAGAGGGCGTGTGTGGAGAGGGGGGTGAAAGTGTTGGGGAGGAAGGAGGAGGAGTTGAGGAGAGCGTTGGCGGGGGTTTGGGCAGAAATGAAGAGGTAGAAGTGAGGGATGGATGGGTTAGATGGTGTATATAGGGGATGAAATAAACCCCAATATTTAGACGTCTTTTTTCTTTTTCCCAAGACTAGATATACGCAAGATGGTACTCGCTTTTCTGATTTGTTTGTTTGTTTGTTTTGGAGTCTGTTACTTACTCGTAATCACCAAAGCTTACCGTATCGATTCCTCAGAGTTTTGAAGGGGGGTTGGGGGGAGGAGGAGGGGGAAGAATATTGATGGTGGATGGAAGGTGAAGGTGGAGATTTTTTTTTCTTTCTTCCTACCAGTAATTTTTTATTTTTTTTTACCTTGTCTCGCATGCTTACGTACCACATGCACATACACACACACACATATATATATATATATATAAAAGTAAAGTCTGTAGGTTTACGGCATGTAAAGTTCCGCCATGTATCATAGTCTTACCCGTGATTACAGCAATGTGCTTGTGCTTGTGCTGATGTTCAGCTAAGCTGTGGATGCGTATGTACATCTCTGTCTCTCTCTGTATTAATCCTGGTTGGGGAGTTTGTTTCCTGGTCTACGTGTGGTGCCTGTATGCTACAAGGCTAGTGATTATTGAGGGAGATGTAAGAATGTGAGGTTAGTTCGGACTTGTGGGTGAGTGGAGTGGATAGGCGGGGGTTTGGGGGCGGTGCTAACAACAGACAAGTGTGGTGTTGGAGTTGGAAGGGGGGGGGGGGGGGGGCATTGTGTTGTATGAATTTCAAGGTGGACCATGGTAGGAAGCGGGAGTGTTTTTTTCTCTCTTTGGAAATTGGGTTTGCGGTATTTCTTTTTTTTTGAGGGGATTAATGTCTTCTTTTGGGTTTAGTTGGCTAGCTCATTGCGAAGAGCTAGATAAGGGATGAAGAATATCTGAAGCAAGAGCACATGCAAATACTCAATCTACATGGTGTAAAGGTAGGGCGAAAGGAAAGAGAAGAGGTAAGCTTTTTATACACAAGTGCACGAGAATTATGGTGTGATTGGCATGTATAGGGCGTGGGGGGGGGGGGAGCCCAAGAGGGATTTTTGTTTGGGCTCGACAGGGTAAGAAGATTACATGATATGTTTCCTATTACAGGAATCGAGGTCTTGGGTGTCGGATGCTGTGTTAGTCAAAGGGCGCGGGTAGGTGATGTGATGTGGTGGGGGGTGGGATGTAAATGGAGCAACATCCATCGACCAAGCACCCCACTACCTTTCCCCCCTCGTCTCTTTACTGCTCCTTCTATCCTCTGTTACAGTGCCATCAGTCACATTGTAACGTATACAAGCTTGAATCCTTCAATCTTCTTGCTGTTCGTACATATGCTCGCACTGAAACTGGGCTTACATCAAAGATAACAATTGAGTCTGCCACGGAGCGTAGAAATCAGCACCCGTGGAATCTTGCCACTGTCGAGATAAGAGAGAGCTGGTCTAAGCTCATTGGCGATACCTAAGCGCTCTATGACTTGAGAAGGAAAAACCAAGACCAATAGGGACATAGGCGACGGATCTGTGTTGCCGTTGTTACCGTGGATTGGGGAACTGTGTGAGTAACGACAAGACCTGTAATAGGCCACAGCTCAAAAGGACCCATCATGCTGCGATTGCGAAATGCAGAGGTGCCAACACACTCTGCATTAACGGTCAACAGTTCTGATTCCAAGTATAGACACTTGGCCCGATGTTCGTTGGTGTTGCACCCAGCACGCGCACAGCAGACTAGGCCCAAATGGGACTCGGTGACGCACTAAGCCAGGGCCGGTGAATCCCCGGCGACACGTCGGACTTGATGCAAGCAACTGACCATCAACGACCAGTTTGCGCCTCTCTGCACACAGCCCTTGGTAGCCTGCGTCGCCGGGGAGGATGATTCTGGCAAGAGACCCGCGACTACGACATGGCATTTGAGGTGTCGTATGATCTCGAGAATGAGCAACAGTTCTGGGATGGTGAGTGTGAAAGCGTGCGAGAGAGAACAGAGACAGAGACTGCGGAGAGCCATACTCACAGTCTTACAACCCCGCCAACCAGCCACTCCAACTAACTCGCGCGGCACACACATACAGAACTCGACGACATCGTCTCCACGCGCTGCCACCAGCATGAGATAATCGACAATTCGCTACGGTCTTTTCTCAATGTCACCACCAGTTACAAATGTACGCTGTTGATGCTGCTACTGCTGCGCCCCCGCGCCGAAGGTTCCCCTGCCGTGACTTCAAGTCGTTGACCGCGAACAGCCGAGTACCTCCAAACCGACTTTAGCATTGCAAAATGTATCTTTCGCATGCTCGAGGGCGAGCTCTATGCCAAGAACAAACAATACGTACGGCGGCAGATAATATATTGCCTGTTGCAAGTACGTGGGATGATGGTGTGCTGGATATACGTTGGCTCTGGGAGGCTGACCAAGGATAACAGGAAGATGACAATCCCACACTCCACATTGTCGCCGCGTTTCTCCTGTACGATGGCCGAAATAGCAGAGATGACGAGGTCTTTGAGATGATGCATTCCGAGGGCACGTTTGCGAGGCTGGTTGAGTTGGTGCAAAAGGAGAGTGTTCAAGAGGAAACATCATTGCATCAGCTGCTGCTGCAATTGCTGTACGAGTCTTCGCGTATCCAGCGATTGACCTACGATGATCTCAGTGCGTCTATCATACTTTTCTCACAACCTGCTGCTCACGGTTTGTGCTAACATTGGGGTGTAGTGGCTGTGAATGATGCTTTCATTCTTTACCTTTTAGGGATTATTGAAGGCGCCTCTGACGATGCGGATGATCCATATCACTACCCTGTGATTCGCGTACTGGTTGGTTTACTCTAGAAATTTCATCGTTCTAAACTGACTGCCGGATAGCTGGTTTTGAACGAGCAGTATCTGGTTGCGTCTACCACTCGTTACAGTGACGGACGGACTGGCATAACAAATCGCGTCATCAAAGCTATATCAACCCACGGCATGACTTACAAAACCTTTGGATGTAATCTGATTCTTCTTCTAAATCGGGAGTCGGAGACGTCCCTTCAGCTTCTTATTCTCAAGGTGCTTTACCTTCTCTTCGGAAACCCCTCGACGGCCGAATACTTCTACACAAACGATCTTCACGTGTTGGTCGACGTCATTCTGCGCAACCTCATTGATCTCCCTCATGACTCGGCCGCTGCAAACGCACTACGGCATACATATCTCCGCGTCCTCCATCCGATACTCTTGCACAGCCAGATCAGCAGACCGCCCCATTACAAACGCGACGAACTACTGCGTCTCCTCCGCCTCCTCGTATCAAGCGGGAACCATTTCGCGCCCGTCGACGAGACCACTGTTCGACTCGTCAATCGATGTACCAGCGTGGAGTGGCTCCAGCCCCCAGCTGCAGAGTCGCCTACAAATGGCAATGGTAACAGACAGTCTCCTGTTGAGCAAGCAGCAATGGGCCAGAAAGAGTATGCAAGAAGGGCTCTGGGTATGACTGTGCAAGGCGGAAATGAAAGCTCAACCAGTGTCTTGGAAATCGCGGGGCACACTGCTCAACCTGGTGTTCAGACGCCGAGTATGACGAAGCATGCGCAATGATTTGTGGAGAAAGTGTAGGCTGTGTATGTTCGTGTCGGGAGTGTTTTTTTTTATCATGGATCTCTTCATGGGTAATTTTTGGCTTTCGTGAGGGGTGCGAGCAAATGGTTTCTTCTTTGTGTGAGCGAGTTAAGATATCCACTTGCATTATGCTTTTATGAGTATTATGGTGAGAAGGGCTTTTTCTTCATTCAGCAGTTCAGATTCCTTGATGAATTTCGACAAAGTGCAACGCGTTCTCTTGTTGGTTTGTTTGTTTTTCTCAAAAATCAAACCACATTTTATTCTCGAATTGTTTTTAAAGAAAAAATTTAAATGGAGTGGACAGCATGCCATTGAATTCATCACGGGCGCCCATCTCCGATCCAGGCGGAAACAAAGACGGTAAATCCGCACCCAAGTCCCGCTAAAAGGATCGACAATGGGCGGAAATTGTCGCGCGCCAAGATCTTTGGGGGCGCGGCGGGTGGCTGTGCATATGGGAATATGTATCACGGGTTTGGCTTTACATTACTTTCATCATCGGGTATGCGGGTTTCTCTGCTGTTTCTGAAGAGGATGAGAATGGTGGAGTGTGGGTAGGAATGTAGTCACGAACTAAGATTTCTGCGTATGCATATGCTGGTGGATGATGTGCATGTGCATGTGCATGTGTATGTTCATAAAATGAGATTGTATCTTGGTTTTCAAGTGCCGAGATGAAGCGGCTCAATCTATCAGTGAGATGCTGTGTTACGCTGTATACTATACCGGTACTGGATGAGCAGATGAGCGAGTTTTTTTATGAGGTCTTGGCTTGTGTGGGTTGGAATCGTAGATTGTGCTAATGAGGTGCGTTATTTGCTCGCCGGCTTTTTTGTTTTCGGAGGCAAAGGTAAGAAGGGAGGACCATGATAAGCATCCCCACACTCCCTCCATCTTTTGTCGCATACATCTAGTTGTTCGGATCGGTGTACAAGTCTAAAATTGAGTAGAGAGACATTTACATCTCCTTGGCATTCGATCATCCGATTATTTCAGTCCGGGTGATTGTGTAGTATGTGTACATGTGAGTTTGAGGCTGCACCATGTACGGTACTCCAAAACAATCAAAGCTAGCGTAAGCCTTTGCCAACAATACGCTACGAGTAGTACGCCAAGGGATATGTAGAAACACCGGCGGAATACGGTATACAAGTGATCTACATAACGACCTTTTCCAGCCCCAGAAAAATCTCAAGCGTGACCATAATGACTCTTGGGCATTCTTTTGGTTTGCGTCCCGTTGTACTGGTTAGTTTGTTAGGCGCCGAGTTAACTTGTGAGGCCACCCTTGCCAGCCATAGTAGGCGTGGCGCTAACTTTCAGTTGCCCATGCTCCCCCTTTCCCCCTGCCTTACATTTTGCAGTCATGGCCACGATTGACGGGACGATTGAACCGTTAAGCCGGCAAACCACCGCATGCGTTACTTTGCGGCTTGGCTTATGGAGCAGTTCTGGACCCTCGGGACTGGTTTGTACCGGATACAACGTTCCCACTGTCATTACACGTGCGGGTATAGATGCAGTAGTCCGTGGACGGGAGATATATGGCAAGTCAAACGGCGTCGAAGGTTACATCGATACAAGCGGTGTAACAGTAGTGGTGGGCATTGGCAACTGCCAGAATCTCTAGACGCGTCATTATACTCGTGGCGTTTCTTAGAGTGTGCTCGCAGTATGTATGGCTTGTGATTATGAAAGTATGCAGAGAAAATTTTGTATACCGTAATGCTAGCCTATATGCATAGTTCGTTTCATTGAGCGATGGTGGGCGTGTAGCATGTTAGTACAAGTAAGGGACCAAGCGTATCCGGGAAAATGTCTAAACAGCTCCCGAAACAAACGTATCACAGAATTTCCATTAAACACTGGGCACCCAATAACGCCGAGTTTTGTGATACCACAGAAAGTCCTGCATCTCCGACAGCACCTGCATTGGCATCGTCGATTGAATCGGTGGTTGAGAATTCATGTTCCAAACGGTCGGTACCGCAAACTTAATAGATGATTTTACATCACGGTTCACTACCCACCTTTTCCCGGATTATATCAAATACCAATGGTCATGGGTGCCAGTGCTACCTTGTCTGTGCACTAGACGAGAGATCTGCCATCAGTCTGCTCTTTCAGACTAACAAGCGCGTGTACGTGATTGTGGCTGGAGAGCAACACCAGATTACTCTACAAACTACCTGGATATCTCGGTTGTAAGATCCAAGATTCCAAGATCCAACACTACCAACCAAACTCTCCCTTTCCGTTACACCGGTATACCGGCACCAAACAGCCAAAAACAAACTCCCCGCCGTCCGCTCCCCACCATACAGCTACATATGTTCCCATATCTCGACACTTGTTTTTCCCTTTCCTCACCGGCTGATTGCCGCCCCCACACCAGCCAAGGCACTCAACAAAGGCCAGCACAAAATGTAATCACCAGACACAGGCACGCCGTTCGCCCATGCCCAAACAAATATGTGCGCACACACCCACACAAAAAAAAAACCAAGCAAGCAGGCCAACCACCCCTACCAAACTTCATACCTACACTACACTTCCCATGCCTTCCAACGGCCACATCACCCACCCCGTGTGCCCGACGATGATGCCATACCCACGTGCTCCAAACCACCGTATTTCACTTCCCTTCTTCTGCAAAAAAAGAAAAAGCAAGGCAAGGAAAACAAAAGTAACATCGTGCACTGATACATTGAATACGTAAATAATATACATATCCAAACGCACACCCATCAATCGTTCACCCTCCCACCCTCCTTCGCTTACAGCCAACTTCGGGTTCGCAAGTGAGGAGGGGAGGGGATTTGCCTTTTGCTTCTTTACCTGTATACAACATCTGGAACATTTGCTGTATTAGACTTAAACCGCTTCTTCTTTTTTCGTTTTTTTGCGTTTGGATGAGCGTGGTCAAGACAAAAAAGCACGTGTGTGTGTACACCGAGGTTTGTTTGACGTCCGGGTTTGTCCGGGGATGAATTCTACCGTGGCATGTGAAATGCGGATTGAGGGGAGAAAAAGTGCCGTTTTTGAGGGGTTTTTTTGTGCATGCAGGGTTGAGTGGTGATAGCGGTGCGTGTGCACAGCAATGTGGGAGTTATTTGGAAGCGAGTGATTTCGCGCAATTGCGCGGCGGATGCGTGGTTTGTTTGCTGGACCGCTGGAGCAGGGAAGGAAAGCGCTCGGTGTTGCGGCCCAAGCTTGGCGGAAGAGGTTGGACGGTGCGAGAAGGTGGGAGAGAGAGGTGCGAGTGTGAAGCAGATGCGAAGAATGTCGGAGCGAAAGATGGTGTACTTGCTTCAGATGGTGAGCACGGATACGCCGGGTAGAAGGCCATCACGATCGCAAACAACAACGACATCCAGAATGAAAAGCATTTGATTTCTAAATTCGTGCAATCCGTAAACTGGTGCTCAACCCATGTATCGAGGAGCTCCCTGCGCCTACGTTGTCTCGAAAAAAAGAGCGTGCTTCTCTCATGGACCAAGACATGTTCGTAAGTGACGGAGAAGGCCCTCGAATGTGTCCTCCTGGAAAACCGAAAAAAGGATCCGCTAAAGAACAAGGAAAAAAACAACAGAGTCGTGACAAACCAAACAATACAGTAAATCCTATGTGTATCTATGTGAAAAGTCATGTCTCATGTCGAACAACGCTTCGCCAACCGCGGAGGAAAGTACAGTTTTAACAGAAAAAGGAAAGGGGGGAATCATAAAAAAACCACTTTATGCCATGCGGCCTTGATGGTCGTAAATGCTCTCGGAAGATGCGTTTCGCGAGACGTTGTTGCTGGGAACGCGAGTTGGGGCCTGTGACAATGGATCAGGCGATGACTCGGTGCCATCACTACTTTTCCGCTTCTCAGATATTTCGGATTTGCCGCATTTGGCCTTGAGAATTTCCCCAACACGCTGACCATTGCTGCATGGCAGGTACCAGCGAGACACGGCCATGCAGAGACATGAGAGCAATAGATTAGTGCCAGACCACAGTTGAACTGTGAGGTAGGTCTGGTAACGGGTGATGAGGTGTCCGGCAATGATGGGGCCAGTGAGGGCCGGGATGGCAGCAAAGGTGTACATCATGCCAGTCCAGTGGCCGAGTTTCTTCTTTGCAAAATGTCTGGTATCTGGCGCAGTGTAGGAGCAGTTGAGAATGTTGCCGATAGATGCCGGGGGTAGGCCAATAACCATACCAGAGAAGACACCAAATACGACACAGAATGCGAGAGCAGCTGTCTCCGACCCTGCGAATGTCCAGAGAAAGAGTGTCAGCAAGGAAGCGGTCAACTGGGAGCCGATGTGCATATTGATGGCACCGATTTTGTCTGAGAAATGAGCCAGAAGCATACGTCCGACGGTTGAGGCACCATTGACAATGACCAGAAGCCAGAATGTCTGCAAAGGTCGATCGGTTGGGGTTTGGGGAGTGATTGGCGACCTGACCTGTTCACGAGTGCCAAATCCGCGTACTGATGCCCACTAATCGACGTTAGCTGATGAACTGGTCATGGGGAGGAGAAAAGACTTACTTCCTCAAGATTGAAGAAGACAGGATAGAAGCCAAAGAACATAAAGGCAACACCAGCGGTGAACCAGCACCAGGCTTTGTTACGGAAAGCTTCCATATCAACCCATGTCCTGATATTGCACCATGTCTGTGGTGTATGATGCTCGTGGGCTGGGTCCGGAGTGCAGAAGATGAACGAGAAGATGCATGTCACCGAAGTGAGAGTCGCAACATAACGGACAGCGTTGTTAAAACCAACAGCGTCGATGAGGTAACGAAGCATGGTGGGGTAGATTACACCAGCTACGCTAGCACCGCAGGCAACGTAGCCTACGGCGAGTCCTCTTCGTTTGGGGAACCATGTAGAAGCAACTGGCGTCAAGTTAGCGGTAATTCCGACATGACTCGATGGATGTTGTTTACCTTGAGAGCTAGATACAAAGAAAGTTGCCATTCCGAGGCCAACGACGAAGCCCTGGGTGACCCAGACAGTGCCAAAGCTTGCCATGGCTTCAATGTCACTGGGGTGTACAACACTAAGCATGAAGAGACCAAACGGTACGAGGAACGTGCCGCAACCGATCACCTTGCGGAAATGTCCAGCGTCCAGTAATCGCCCAACGACGTTGGAGAACAACAGTACAAGGGCAGACTGAGTCGATCCCACCAAGTTTAGTTCGAGCTGGTCAACTCCTCGTAGTGAGTAGCCGACGTAGTATGAAGACCAAGTACCGTAAGCGTTTACAAGACCCCAAGAGTTGAACATGAGAAAGAAGCAACCTAGCAGGCATGCATAAGCACGCCATGAGCGTGGCCACTCGGCCTCATGCAGTGCGTCGAGGGAGGTTATGGGTGATTCGTTTGGCATAGAGCTGGCGGCAGTTGGAGCTTCCGAGAGTGGCAGGGTTCGCTCACTGGGCTTGCAGCCCTGCTGGTAAGGGAATTGTGGTTTTTTCATTGTGAGGGTAGTTCCTGTTGCTTCGGAAAGGTGTGATGAAAGCGGAAAGACTGAACTGAAGTCGAGGAAAGCGTAGATGTGCTATGTAACAAGGTGCTCAACACAGACAGTATGTGTTGGAGGGGACGCGCTCAAGTGCGCGCACTAATAGTGTGATGTTACAGTTTGACCAAGAGTCAAAACGGTGGGGGGAAAGATATAAGTACAATGCGTAGGCTCAAGCCAGTCATGGATGTGGGGACAAGGGCCTAAGGCACCGATTGATAAAGGGTTCTTTTACGGCTCCACTTCTGCTAAACACACCCGCAGCTCCCGCGTAAAGTGTGGCTGACTTTGCCATAGTGACGTGGTAGTCAAACCGGCCGTGTGATGGAGGGATTGAGTGCCGTCACGCATAAGCACCGCAAGGGTGCAAGACCAAGAGAAGCCAAGACAAATACGGGCTTTGGGAGCCCGCCAGCGACAGGGTATATTACATTACCTTCCTAGAGACTCCCGATTCGTGCGGCCCAAAGCTCAGAGCTAGTCTAAGTGCTGATTTGGTGGTAATGATCTGCGGACGAGGACGTTCCGGTGCTGCCTACGTTTGGGCTCCCACGCAGTCGACTGTTGTTGCGAAGCAGCGCCACTTGCAACAACCGATAAGGGTGTTCTCTCCTTGCTACTTGCGACCTGACTCGCCATCTCATGGGTGGTGTGCGCTACACTCAGCGGCACTGCACGGAACTGGGTGCAGCTAACCACGGTACGTAGTTTGTGTAGCGATGCCATGATTTCCTTTACAACTGTCGAAATTGCTCGCAGGCTGTGCATCCTTGGCCTGTTCCACAAACGTAAAGGCGCCAATGGGTTATAGACGTTGTGTAGAGTGTGATAGGGGTTGAGGCGCCAAACAAAGTTGTGTTGGACGGCGGAGCGGGTTCTCGAAGCTTGGCAGCGTGTCAGCGGGAGACTCGAAGATGCGGCTCGATTGGATCGGTAGGATGCACAAGGGCCAAGGAGTGCCCAAGTAATGATGTACAATTCCGCCTTGGCCCGGTCCACATATCTTGCCAGGGTTGAAATTGAGTCTCCTGCAGGTATTACCGCTGCGACTGCTCGAGCTCTGGGCAGCATCAGCACATGAGAACACTCGACATTGGCCATACGCAGGCAAGGTGATGGCGCCCGCCAACGTAACCGCCACCCTATGAGACGCCCAGAAACGCCTTTGAGTAAGACGGCGGGAGTTTGCCCGTGGCTCTTCCAACCCAAAAAGCGCACTAAATCTGGCGGCGTAACAAGATCGGCGGCCCGGCGTAGCCTGTCGCTTCGTTATCTTTAGTAGTCACAGCACAGCCACAACCGCATCCTAGGCCTAGGGATCGACGTCTAGGGATGTTTCGCCAAATATCAACCTCAAGTGGCTTGCGCCCCACGCGGCACGGCGATGATTTGTTTTTCCTGTCGCAACAACACGAAATGGTCATCACCTAGAGATAGACATTCTAAGGCTATGAACAAACGTTGTACGTGTCTCACTAACCCGGGCCCGGGCGACTGCAAGCTGCAGAGGGCTCTTCACCGCACACCGCAATGACTAGCTGAGTGATATACAATTTCCCTCGATTAGCCGGCAGCACCAGACCCACATGATGTTGTTAGAGGGCTTGTGGAGAAAGGACTTGGGCGTTTGAAAGAGTGGGGAGTGCCATGGGGAAGATCATGGACGACACGGCAAGTCTGGAGATCAGCGCCGCTATGCTGGGAGAGTCTGGTTGCCAAGTCATGAGAATGTCCTGGCCGGACGATTGCGCCTTCACGAGACTTTGGCCTAGAAACTATCCCGATCAAGCCGGATATCCTGTTTCGAGACGAGCGCATGGCACGGTTTCCAGTGTGACGCAGAGACTGGTACTAGCCCGGGATCTTCCTAGGTTTTTGCAGATCTTCTGCTTCAAGAATCACGACCCAATTGCCGGAACAAGCAAATTCTTCTCCCGCGGCCGGCCAACCGTCCTCCACGTTTTACGAAAGCAACTTTATCTTAGCACATTCGGCCGTTGTACTGTTTCGTAATGGCCGGACTTGAGAATTGCCGTGATAGCGGTCAGTTGGCCGTGTCACCCTCCACGCAACCAACTAGCCTCTTGGGGTGATGGCGAAGCACATGTGTTTGCCCTTTCTGGATCCATTCGCTACGTCACTGGTGTTCCACAGTAGGTCTCGTGGGCAAGGGACTTCTGGGCACTGGGGGTCTTGACGCCTTTTTCGCGAAGTGACCCCGGACCCAGAAGTTGCACCCTGGATGATATCATGGACCTTGGGTGGCGGTGAGTAGATGGCGAGGCTAATCCTCATGTCTGAGATCTTCGATGCGCGGCCCGCTCCATTCAGCGGATGGGGCGCCATTGACATTGATAGATAGGTCCCTCAGACAGTTCGCACCAGGCCGTTGGCGGTGTAAGTGTCATGTAACAGTCTCCAGGCAGTCCTTCGCTTCAGAGTGCTTGAATCAGTCGAATGTTTTCAGCTGCTTATGAGGGTTCGTCCAATTTCTTTGCACAAGGCAGTATTGAGATCTGGCTTTGATGGATCCTCAGCTAAGCAGCCTTAGGCTCTTGAATTTCTTGTGGAGTATGCAACTGTAGCCTTGGCCAAAGGAACTCTCAGACGACGGCTAATGTGTGCCTGTCTGCGCAAGAGAGTCTATCCGGAACAAAGCTCAAGACGAAAGATTAAGCTCAGGTCAAAGTTCTCGTGTTGGTCATGGACACAAAGCGAGGCAGATCAAGGCAGGGCAATCTCCCGTCTGAGTTTGTTGATCAGGAGATCGGTCATAGCTCCTACAGCTGCACGTGATCATGCCAAGACATCGACAAAAAACAAAACACCGCTCTTAGAGTTATTTGCAGGCCCTATCTTCTAAATGCATCTCGAAAAGTCTGCCTAAGGCCTAATCTGCAAACCCGCCAATGGTGCAGCGGTAAAAACAGGCAAATACGAGCGGAACGCCACACCGAGCCACCAGGGTAAGTCTTGGGATTCCATGCAGATTCCGTGTGTCAGGATCAGCCCACCTGGAGACGCTTCCTCTGGGCGCCATCCCGCACCCATGGAATCGCAGATTCAAACCGAAGGGGCCAGGGGCGGAGCGGAATCTCGGAAATAATCAAATCGACTTGGGCGCAAATGCTGCCCATAAGCTCACGACAAAAGATAACAAGGCCGAATCAATTCGCCGTGCTTCATCCCAGAACCTCTGTCGACCCAAGACAACGCACACATCCCTGATTAATGTCAGCGCAACCGCCGGGGGTGGTGGCGATGATAGCGCGGCGAATCGGGTCGCTATAGCTCAACACGCTCTGACTGGAGGCGGAGCGGAAAGCACAGCATTTGCCCATGGCGCTCCCACCCGAGTCGTATTCAACACCATGCGACGCAGGGATGCGCACAAGCATAAGCATCGGGTGTATACCCGCACGTTGGGCACCGGAGCCGCTTCACTGGACTTCTGACGTTGTCTTAGGCTGTCAACAAGATCAACTAGACTGGTCGACATGCGTAGCCAAGTAGCCGCCCGGCGCCTTACAGGGCAAGGGAGATGAAAAAGCTCGAGAAAAGGAAATTGAGGGCTTGCACAGCCAGGGCTGGGCAGGCTTTGGGCGCCGACTTGCCATCGCAAGAATTGTCGCTTGTGAAAGGGTGTGTGTCCAAACATGCACGCACCCACGCTCGTGGATAAACAAACACCACTTCGACTTTTCGGATTGCTTTTTGTCCGGGGTATTTTTGCCTCTACAGCTGCCATCCTTTGCGTCGGTTTTCGACTTTGAATTTTTCTTCTTATCGTGCATACGCATAGGATCGGAAAAAGCAAGCTCAGAACCAAACACCGTCATGATTGTCGTCACACCTTCAAAAAGAAACTCGTCTATTTGTCGTTCTGTTACGTGTTCTATTTTTTTTCCTCTACTGAGTCTAGAAGCCGGCCGCGCACGAACGTGTGCAAACTATAACAGTACGCGCGTTACGTACATGAGTTTGCCGAAGAGGCTGCAGCAGGTATGTTTGGCCGGATAACGATATGTTCTACCAAGGTGGCATTCATACCCGTTGGATGATGTAATGAGGATAACGATACGTCGGGCCGTGAGGGCAATATTGACTTGCCTACTCGACAAACGCAAAGAAGATGTTCTCCCAACTGTGGTTTCACGTAGGCCATTTGTCGTATACACGACCTTCCCGTCTTTCTTTGTAAGCTTCACTCTGTGTAGCTTGCTTCATACACATACGCTCATGTGTGGTGTAACAGAAACAGCCTCCTCAATTGAGATTGCCTCACTCTATCTCTAATTTAGCAGAGCCTTCTTCTCCTGATATGTTTGCTGGTTTTTCATCAATGCCATCCCGTGTACGCAGTACAGCCCAGCCTTTTCACTGACACACTCCTCGTTGAGGGACTTTTACTAGCGGATATGCTGTGTATTCTGGCCGGCATGCCTGGCTGGTATGGATCTATCTCCGTTTTCTTGAGTCATCCCATACGCCCATGACTCTTACAACCTACAAGATAGCCAAGGCCAAGCACGCATTACACAGGTTCGGCAGTATTATATTGAAAACCCATGCCCCTGGGACATCACATGTATGGCCCTAAACCGTTTGAGCAACTGGAAATAGATCAACATACACTCTGGAATGCCCACAGTGCGGCTTTGATATTATAGATGGCTCAGCCCACACACTTGCATAGGTAATTACGACTATGGCACCAGCTCCTTTTCTATAGAACGATAAATCTCGCTTCTACAAGCAATAGA